GTCATGTTGTAAGGAAGATTAGAACCAATAGGAGGAGCCACCAGAAAGAGGAAACAAAACACAACAGAAGAAAAAAATAGCAAATAGTATGCTTTGATCTGCATCCAAACTCCATAGTTCTTTCTTTGAATGTGGATAGCATTTTCCATTGTGAGACCTTTGGAGATGTCTTAGATCCTTGCATTGCTGAGAAGGGCCAAGTCTGTCAAAGTTAGTCATTGTGCAACATGGCTGTTTTGGTGCACAACGTTCTCTTGGTTCTGCTCACTTCACTCAGCATCAGACCATACAAGTCTTTCCAGCTTTTTCTGAAGTCTGCCTGCTCATCATTTCTTATAGCACAATAGTATTCCATTACATTCATATACCACAATTTGCTCAGCCATTCCCCGGTTGATGGGCATCCTCTCAATTGCTTTGCCACCACAAAAAGAGCTGCTATAAATATCTTTGTACATGTGGGTTCTTCTCCCATTTGCATGATCTTTTTCAGATACAGCCCTAGAAGTGCTATTGCTGGGTCAAAGGGCATGCACATTTTTATAGCCCTTTGGGCGTAGTTCCAAATTGCTCTCCAAAATGGTTGGATCATTTCACAACTCCACCAACAATGCATTAGTGTTCCAGTTTTCCCACATCTTCTCCAGCATTTATCATTTTCCTGTTTTGTCATGTTGGCCAATCTGATAGGTGTGATGTGGTACCTCAAAGTTGTTTATATTTGCATTTCTCTAATCAATAGTGATTTAGAGCATTTTTTTTTGGCTAGGCAATGGGTTTAAGTGACTTGCCCAAGGTCACACAGCTAGTAAGTGTTATGTGTCTGAGGCCAGATTTGAACTCAGGTCCTCCTGAATCCAGGGCTGGTGCTCTATCCACTGTGCAGCTGTCCCTAGAACATTTTTTCATATGACTATAGATGGTTTTAGTTTCTTCATCTGAGAACTGCTTGTTCATATCCTTTGACCATTTATCATTTGGGGAATGACTAGTATTTTTATAAATTTGATGTAATTCTCTATATATTTTAGAAATCAGGCCCTTATCAGAGACACTGGTTGTAAAAATTATTTCCCAGTGTTCTACTTTCCTTCTAATCTTGGTTGCATTGGCTTTGTTTGTGCAAAAACTTTTCAATTTAATGTAATCAAAATGATCCATTTTGCTTTTTGTAATGTTCTCTCTCTCTTGTTTGGTCATGAATTCTTCTGTTCTCCATAAATCTGATAGGTAAACTATTCCTTGCTCTCTCAGTTTGCTTATAGTGTCAGCCTTTATATCTAAATCATGAACTCATTTTGACTTTATTTAGGTGTATGGTGTGAGATTTTGGTCTATACCTAGTTTCTGCCATATTCTTTTCCAGTTTCCCCAGCAATTTGTGTCAAATAGTGAGTTCTTATCGCAGAAGCTGGGGTCTTTGGGTTTATCAAATAGTGGATTACTAGAGTCATTGACTACTGTGTCTTGCATACTTAACCTATTCCACTGATCCACCACTGTATTTCTGAGCCAGTATCAAGCAGTTTTGATGATTGCTGCTTTATAATACAAGTTAAGATCTGGAATGGCTAGGCCACCTTCCCCTACATTTCTTGTCATTAGTTCCTTTGATATTCTGGACCTTTCATTATTCCGAATGAATCTTGTTCTTATTTTTTCTAACTCTATAAAATAATTTTTGGGAATTTGATTGGTGTGGTACTGAATAAGTAAATTATCTTAAGTAGAATTGTCATTTTTATTATATTAGCTTGACTTACCCATAAGCAATTGATGTTTTTCCAACTATTTAGATCTGACTTTATTTGTGTGAAAAGTGTTTTGTAATTGTGTTCATAGAGTTCTTGGGTTGAAGCTGTCTTTCAATTCTGACATTCTACTGCATGTGTCCTGATTCTAGGACATAGAACATGGAGGGGAGAGAGCTCAGAAGGCATCAGACATCACATTTCTGCCTGGATTAATGTTGCTGCCCATTGGGCATATAAACTGCTGACCAATCAGTCCTAGACTCCTCTTATTGATATGTCCAGTTAGGTTATGGGCTATGTTAAATTTTTTTTTTTTGCTCATTTGATTGGTTTGGTTTTCTTATACAGTTCTTTTTTTCATCTTGTTTTTGGCCACCTTAACCCTGAGCTAGCCCTGGCTGCAAATAGCAGCTTCACAAGACTCTCTGATTCCAAGAAATCTGCTCCATCTTAGGCAGGAAGACCTGGGAGGTCAGACTGAGAGGAAGACTCACCAAGAAAAGTGAGAGGCTGAGGAGGAACCAGCACTGCAGGATGTTTATAGAAGCAAAGGGATTTCTGCTCCAGGCCCATATTGGGCAACTGTCTAGTGCTTTAGGAAGCATGAAGAGGTAGATTCCTATCTCTACCCTGTGGGATGAGGATCCACAGGTTTTTCCAAACACACCTTACTAGAGACTTGGGTTCAGAATTTGATTTCCCAATGAACCAAACCTCTTCATGTGTAATGACTTACAAGAATGCAGCTGCAAACTCCTTATTCCCTGTCCCCTCCTCCAGTCCACTTACTCCTTACCCACAATGAGTAGAGAGATCATTTTTTTAAATATGTATTATTTTTGACTCCTTGTAGTGCCTACAGTGCCAGAAAGGGCACTCTATAGCCCTGGAGTGAGGGATGAGGGACCTGTCTTCCTTCCTCCGGGTAACCCAATCTATGTCCCTTAAAGTGTGAATAATGAGACTTGTCAGTGTGGTAAACTGCACCAGGCTCCAGGCCAACTAACCTCACTTTTCCTTATCTCCCAGTGCCCTTCCTCTGCCTCAGGCGCTTGTCCCTCAGGGCTTGCCCTCCCAGCCCTTCTCCCCCTTATACTTATCTCCGCTCCCCTCTCTTTCTAACACCTTTCTGCCTTTTTCCTGTACTCCTCTTGCCTCTGTGTCTTTGCTCTGTCTGGGGCATTGGGGACAGAAAAAGCAAAGACACAGAGGCCTGTTGAAGACCTTAGCTTGAAAAGGCCAAAGTCTCCCACTGCATCCTGGGCCATCTCCAGTTGTCCTGATCTATATCTGGCCGTTGGACCTAGATGGCTCTGGAGGAGAAAATGAGGCTGGTGACTTTGCACAGCCCTCCCTCACTTCAATCCAATCCACTTGCATGTCATGGCATTACCTCCCCAATGTCATGGTCCTCTTCGAGGATTAAGGACAAATAGCAGGTAGCAATCCCAATGCCTAGAATATCCTACCTCACTCTTGTCACCTGTTGACTTGCTACCTGTCGCTTGAAACCCAAATGACATGCCGTGTTGTCCCAAAGCCTTCCCTGATCCCCTTGGCTGGTAATGACCTTCTCCCTTTGACCTCATGTGGTACTTTGTTCCAGGGCCTGGCACATAGTGAGCCATTAGTAAATGCATGTTGGTTGAGATCGATTTATTAAGCATTGTTATGTTTCAGAGTGATTCTCCTAAAGCAGAGATCTGATTGTGTCAAAACCACCTCCCCCTCCTCCGAACCATGCAATAAACTCCAGTGGCTTCCTAGTGCCTCCAAGGCCAAATCCAAAATGGTCTGCTTGGCATTCAAAACCTTTTAAACTTGTCCCCCTTCTACCTTTCTCGTCTTCTTACACCTTGTTCCCCAACATATACTTTTTCACCCAGTGACACTGACCTCCTGGCTGCTCCACAAACAAGGCATTCTGTCTCTCAGCACTGGTCATTTTCTCTGGCTTTCCCTCATGCCTAGAATGCTCTCTCCTCCACTCTGACTACTGACCTCCCACCCAAAATCCCACCTTCTACAGGAAGCCTTCCCTAGCCTTTCTTAATTCTAGTGCTTTCCCTCTGTTAATTATTTCCTATTTATCCTATATATAGCTAGTTTTGCATGTACTTGTTTGCTGTTGTCCACCTCATTAGATTGTAAGCTCCTTGAGGGCAGAGACTCTTGCTTCTGCATCCCCAGCACTTAGTAGAGTGCCTGACACGTAGGAGGCACTTAAACTTAACAAACCTTGTATTGATTGATCTGTGTTGGTATTATAGCCAGTATGCTCTGGCCCACTTTCTCAGAGCCAGACCTGTTATATCTCCCCCAGGGTTCTAGGGGGTATCCAGAGAGATTGGAGTGTCCATCTGCTTGAGACCTCTACTCTCGTGTTCTTCTCACTATTGGTTGGTGTCCTTCGTTTTCGAAGAGAACCAAAATGACCTCACTGTGCTAGAGTCAAGTTACAGTGTGCCCGACTGTGGCTGATCAGACCAATACGAGCTTGGAATATTCTGCCACAGGTCAGGCACAAACAGTCCATGTGAACATTGGGGATGGATTCTCTAAGTCTGCAAATCTTGTGTTTCTCTCGAGCTATTTCAATTCTGCTTTGCTCATAGAGCACAGCACCTTCTCTGATGTGGGCATGCCAGGCTGAGTGATCCTGTGCCAGCATCTCCCATACCACGCAATCAATTCCAAAATTCCTTTTTTTTAAGTCAGTTGGGGTTAAGTGACTTGCCCAGGGTCACCGAACAGCTGGTAAGTGTCAAGTGTTTGGTCTGAGGCCAGATTTGAACTCAGATACTCCTGACTTCAGGGCCAGTGTTCTATCAGCTAATTCCAAAATTCTTAAGAGAGACCTTGAGAGTGTTTTTGTATCACTTCTTCTGGCCACCATGTGCATGCTTGCCCTGTGTGAGTTCTCCATAAAATAGTCTTTTTGGCAAGTGTACAGTTTGCATTTGAACAACATGGCCAGCCCATTGGAGTTGTACTCTCTGAAGCAGAGTTTGAATGCTTGGCAGTTTAGTTGAAGAAAGAACCTCAGTGTCTGGTATCTTATCCTGCCAGGTGATCCTCAGAATCTTCCTAAAATGATTCAAGTGGAAGCAATTCAGTTTCCTGGCATGGCGCTGGTATACTGTCCAGGTTTCACAAACATACAACAATGAGGCTACCACAAAGGCTCTGTAGACCTTCAGTTTGGTAGTCAGTCTAATACCTCTTATCTCCCATACTTTTCTTTAGAGCCTCCCAAACACTGAGCTAGCTCTGGCAATGTGTTCATCAACCTTACTATCAATGTGTACGTCCCTGGAAAGTACACCACCAAGGTAAGTGAACTTATCCACAGCATTCAAAACTTATCCATTTGCTGTAACATATGGGTGGTGTGGTGCTAGCTGATGGAGCACCTATGTTTTCTTTGTGTTAATCTCTCTCTGTTAGGTGCCAGTGACTGACCAGTTCTCCAATTCCATTTAACTTCCAAATATCAATTAGCTTTTACAAAGAAATATTTATGTCAGATGTAACAAGAACAAAAGTACAAATATTTCTCCAAAACGTAATTCTGTCTTGGTCTTTGGGGAGAGTGGGATCATACTGAGCTCATGTACATAGCTTTGTTCTCACCCAGTTCACAAACAAACATGACCTTTCTCCTAGATGAGTTCTCTTCTCTTCTTTCATTTGGCTGGATCCTGAAGGTCATTCCTTGTTCCTTGGGGCACTGATGCTGAACTGACTGCAAAACCCATATGCTAGGACATTGAAAGTTAATCCAGATTGATGGCTAACATAAGAAGTTGTATTTTCACAGGGGCCTTCTGGAAATAATGCCTCTACTTCTGTTGGTCAGCTGGAGGGTGATTCTAATTCTGGGAATTTCAGACCATATTCTCATGGGGGCAGATGATTTTGATCAGACAAGTTTTGTAGCATGCTTCTCTACAAAATGAGAGGATTGTATTAGAAGGTGATAAGCATTTATTAGGCATTCATTATGTCCCAGCTACACTGCTAAATGCTGGGGATAAATAATAAATAAATAAAAATGCAGGAAAAAAGAAAAAGAGTCACTGTTCTTAAGGAGCTTTTGGTCTAATGGGGGAAGACAATACATAAAAAGAGATGAAAAGCAAGGAGAAGACTGAGGTGCGGTGGGGGGAAATGGAGGTATCTGCACTGGGGGATGTAGGAGAGGAATACTGAAGTCCAGAAAGTCAGAAGCACAGCCAGAAAGAGAATGAAGGTTGGCCATCCTGGACCTCTCCCAAGATGGAGGAGCTCACCAATGAGAGAAGGGGACCAGCATGGCAGAGGGATGTTCCAGGATGAAGAAGGCCCAGGCACTGCGGGAGTTTCCAGGGTGAAACTCCAGCCGTGTCATGAAGACAGTGAGGACTTCTAAAGGTTCCCTCCAGCTCTAGACCTATAATCCAAATCATACTGAATAAACGGCCTCTACTCGAAGAATCACAAACTAATCATAGAACATCAGAAGAGAACATTTATTTATTCCAACCCCCCATTTGTAAAATTATCTGTAAACTGGGAAGAACAATAGCACCTCTCTCCCAGGGCTGTTGGGAGGCTAAAATGTGATAATATTTGTAAAGAGCTTTGCAAACCTTCAAAGCTATATAAATACCAGCCATTAGTTTTGTTGTTGTGTCCCCCAATACCTAGCACAGTGCCTGGCATGTTTTTGTTGTTGTTGATCTTTTTCAGTTGTGCCTGACTCTTTGTGACCCCATTTGGGGTTTTCTTGGCAAAGATGCTGGAGTGGTTTGCCATTTCCCTCTCTGGCTCATTTTACAGTTGAGGAATATCCAGCAGAGGATTTTGTATGTGATCCTGGAGATTCCACAAATGAGCAGTTTTCCACAGTCTATCCTAGACTTCAAGGTCAATTTCTTCTGGGAAATCTTTAAAATAATCCTAGCCCATTTTGTGCCAGGAAATCAGAACATTTTTTTTTTGGTACTGTCTGAGATTACACGAGAACTTGCATGTCCAAGTGAGCTCTTTTGCCCCGGGCTGGGAGCTGATGCCCTTTCCAAAGATGCTTCCACTTTCACTAAATTGCAGGGAAGGAGCAGGGGGTCCACTTTGGGATGTGACTTCAGAGTTGGTTAGCATTTGCAAGAGAAAATTTGTCTCTACTTTTGCCCTCTCCTAGAAGAGGTCTTTTTGGACCCACTCCTTTGTTAGTTCCTTCCCCATCCCTAGAAAATACTTTCATATTTCTTTTTTAAATATTCTAATAATCATAGCTTTCAATTCAACATTTTTATATTCTTATTACAGAATACTGTTGTTTAGCCCAGAAAAACAACTACAAAAATAAAGATGATACCATCCCACACCTCAATCAGTAAGAATTTGAGTGCCTATTATTTGCCAGGCAAGGGCAGCTAGATGGTACAGTGGGTACAGCACTGGGCCTGGAGTCAGGAAGACTCCTCTTCATGAGCTCAAATCCAGCCTCAGACATTTACTAGCTGTGTGACCCTGGACAAGTCACTTAATCCTGTTTGCCTCAGGTTCCTCATATGTAAAATGCGCTGGAGAAGGAAATGGCAAACTGCTCTAGTAACTCTGCCAAGAAAATCCCAAATGGGGTCACAAAGAGTTGGACATGAGTGAAAACAACAACAAAAAGAGTTTAATAAGTTATTGTTTCCTTTCTTTCTGGTAAATCTATTTTTTGGCTAATAATAACAATAACTAGCATTTACATAGCACTTTAAGGTTTGCAAAGCGCTTTACAGGTTATTTCATTTGATCTACACAATGGCTCTGGGAGATAGATGCTATTATTATTCCCATTTTACAGATGAGGAAATGGAGGCAGACAGAAGTTAAGTGATTTGCCCAGAGTCACCTAGCTGGTAAGTATCTGAGGAAGGATTGAATACTCAGGTCTTCCAGGCTCCAAATCCAGTGATCTTTTCACTACCCACTGCCCTACCTAGCTGCCACTATCAAGGAAAATAAAGTCTAAAAGAAGGCCATTGAATTCAACCATTAAGGGATCACTGGTAACCTTCAAGAGAGCAGTTTTTGCAGAGTAATGAGGTCAGGATCCAGACCTTGAGGCATTGAGAAGTGAGTGGAAGGTGAAGATGTGGAAGCAATTAGTGTTCATGGATATTTCTAGGAGTTTGGATGAGAAAGGAGGAGAGATATAGGACAGTATAGCTTGAAGGAGTGGTGGGATCAAGTCAAGGTTTTCTAAGGATGGGAGAAACCCATTTATAGGCAACAGGGAAGGAGCCAGTAGATAAGGAGAGATTGAAGATGATGGGAAAGGGGGTTGGGGAGAAGCAGGGGAGTAGAAGAGGGGGGAAGAAAAGAGAGGAAGAGAAAGGGAGGAAGGGAGGGGGAGGGAGGGAGGGAGGGAGGGAGAGAGAGAGAGAGAGAGAGAGAGAGAGAGAGAGAGAGAGAGAGAGAGAGAGAGAGAGAGAGAGAGAGAATATTGAAGGAGTGAGCTTCTAGAGAAGATGGGAGGGAAAGGGAATGAAAGCTCAGGTAGAGAAGATAACCTTGGTAAGGAGAAGGTGTACTTTTTCCTAAGAGACAGAAATAAAGGAGAGGATACATTCAAGATATGGAAAGGTTTTGAGGTGAGGAGTGGAGGAAAAGAAGAAGCTCACAGAGAGTGGTCTCAATTTTCTCAATAAAATGGGAAGCAATAATGCCTCCTGAGCTAGAAGGTTTGGGGTGAGAGAGGGGGAAAACATTGAAGAGAGGTCTGCAATAGCTACTAAGAGAAGCAGGGTAGAAAATCAAACAAGGAAGAATAAATATATTTCCACATAGCAGAGAAAACCACTTCCTATCTGTCCCTTTCTGTCCTCACACATAGACAGCATCCTAGCTCAAGCCTTCATCCCCTCTGACCTATACTATTACAACTCTTCATTGATCTCTCTACAAGTCACTTAACCTCTATTAACCTAAATTTTCTTCTCTGTAAAATGGGGAAAATAACAATACTTACCTCACAGAGTTGTGAGGATCAAATAAGGTAACATGTACAGTGCTTTGCAAATTGTAAAATGTTATACAAATTCCAGCTAGTATTGACTTCTGAAAATTTTTATGTCATTTAGCACACAGTCCTTCTGGATACTCTCCTCCCTTGTCTCCCTGCTCTCCCCTGGCACTCCTTCCACCTAACCAATCCTTGTCAGTGTCTTCTTTTTTGGGGGGGAGGGCCTAGGCAATGGGGTGAAGTGACTTGCCCAGGATCACACAGCTAGTAAGTATCAAGTATCTGAGGTCAGATTTGAACTCAGGTCTTCCTGAATCCAGGGCTGGTGTTCTGTCCACTGTGCCATCTAGCTGTCCCTTCTCAGTGTCTTCCACTGGCCCATCATCCACTTCCTCCCTCCATGCTGTGGATGTTCCCTAGGGCTCTGCCCCAGAACTTGGTCTCTTCTGTCTCCACCCTCTACACTCTCATCAGCTCCCATAGATTCAAGTATCATTCCTCCACAGGTGATTTCCAAATCATTACATCCAGACATGATCTCTCTCAAACTCCAAACTGGAAACTGGCTGCTGGATATTTCCACCCAAATGTCCCAATGGCATCTCAAATTCAACATGTCCAAAACAGTATTCATTATCTTCTCCTCCAACCACTACTTCCTTCAAACTTCCTTATTTCTATTCAGAGTTCCACCATCCTCCCAGTCATCCACATTAGTAAGCTCCTAGTCATTGCTGATTCCTCTCCACCAACCCCATCAGCTACTGCCTTGTTGATTCTTCCTCCATGATGTCTCTCACATCCATACTTCTCTCTACTCACATGGCCACCACCCTAATTCAGATGGTCATCATTTCTCACCTATCTTACCATGCTATCATTCTAATTAGTCTCCTTGTCTCTAATCTTTCCTAATTCCAATTCCTCACATGGTTGTTAAAATAATCTTCCTAAAGTATAGACCTGACATAGTCAAAAATGGTCAATGGCTCCTTAATTGCTTATAGGGATGAAATGCAAGCTCCTTGCTCTGGTCTTTAAGGTCCTCTAAAATCTGATTTCCATCTACCTTTTCAGTCTTATCTTATACTATTCCTATTAATGAATTCTATGTTCCAGCCAGAAGAGGTTCCTAGCTTTCCCAGAATTTAATATTCCACCTTTCATGACTGTACATTCAATACACAGTGCTTTCATGTCTGGAATCCACTCTCTCTGGAATCCTCTTAGAAGCTTTGATTTTCTGATTTATGACTGCCTCTCTCAGACCACTGCTTCAGGAAAAGCACCAGACCAGCCATACTTCACTTCAGTCCTGATTCTCTGGCCAGC